ATACTTTTGGAATGTTCACCTCATCTGTTACTTATGTACAACTTTGCAATTAATAAAAAGTTTCAAATGATATGGCCTTGAATTACCTCAATGATATTGTCACAGGGTAAGCCCAGAACAGCTCATTCCATTTTACCAACAATTATATTCTTATATTTCTCTATTTATAAATTATTTGCCTGTCAGCGGACTTTTGAATCTCTCGGTATATATATATATATATATAAGATTTATAGGATAAATTGCCTGGAGTGTTGGATAATTACATGGCGTTTCAGAATATATCCCTCATAAAAGAACAAAAAGGTCTTACAATAATCTACTTTTGGAAACTTCTCATATTCACACATCTTTTTTTTTCATCAGTTTATTCATACAAACCTCGATGAATAATTACATCAATCATTATCAAATACGTAGAAATATTGGAATAGATGTCTAAACATTTTTCATCAGAGCAAGAAACACCGATATTTCAGAGTTTTTGATCAACATAAGATCAATTGTTACTAGTTTCTGATAAAAGTAAGCTACCTGCTTAGATCATAACTAAAATTCAAGTCGGTAACTAACAAGCATTTCAAATTACATATACTGTTTTTACGTTCTTACTTATAATGCGATGCTTCAGCCGTAATCCCGATAATAATAATCACGAGGATCAGCCAGCAGTTTCGGAAATTTATGTTAGCCCTAAGTCTATTTACTAAACTAACAATGCATATTAATCTTTATAATGAATGTATAATGATAGTAATACAAAATTTACCACAATGATAATAGATATATTAGACTTTTTAACCAATAGTGTTCATAGTAATAACATTAACAATACAGCTTCCTCACGGAACATATAAACACTAATGATTTGCTTCATGTACTATCGTAGATTTAATGTTCCTTGAAGAACTTTGTAAAACTTTACACAATCCTCCCTAACAATGTCTTGTGACCAATGAAAGTCCATTAAACAGCTCCGACGGTGTAATCTTGGAGTAGCCTGACATCTAAGATAAATTACTACGACACATGTTACTTTAGCTATATGGAGTCGGGGAGTAGGACTGTGCAGATAGTAAAGTTAAAATACGATTCTTTATAAAGACAGAAAATAATAGATATTAATAAATTAGAAATAAATGAATAACAGAATCTTATAATAAATAACAAGAATATTGTTTAATCTAATAAAAAATAAAAATATTAAACATACTATGTGGTGGGTCTAACACAACTAATTCCATTTTAACTAACTACTGTCACTTTACAACACATATGAAACGGAGAGTCGAAAGTACTAAATAAATTGTATATCCTAAGTAATAGCCAAAAAGTAAACGCGACACCTTTCGAGAAAGAACACAATAACATTAAGGCTTAGAAAAAGCAAGCAACAACAACGGTAAATACAACATTTATAGTATTTAGAAAAAAACTAGCTGTAGCTTCACTAATGACGTAGTTTTTTTTTTCCTTTTACTATGATGAAGGAAAGTCGACTTTCCGAATGCGCTTTTGTAGTAGTGTTATACTATATAGGGAAATGTTACATAGCTTTGGTAGTGTTATACTATATAGGGAAATGTTATATAGCTTTTGTAGTGTTATACTATATAGGGAAATGGTATATAGCTTTTGTAGTGTTATACTATATAGGGAAATGTTATATAGCTTTTGTAGTGTTATACTATATAGGGAAATGTTATATAGCTTTGGTAGTGTTATACTATATAGGGAAATGTTATATAGCTTTGGTAGTGTTATACTATATAGGGAAATGGTATATAGCTTTTGTAGTGTTATACTATATAGGGAAATGTTATATTGCTTTTGTAGTGTTATACTATATAGGGAAATGTTATATAGCTTTTGTAGTGTTATACTATATAGGGAAATGTTATATATATTTCATTAACTATAGTAAGAGATTAAACTAACAGGAGGCAAGATTAATACTAATCACTATTTAATAGTTCATTATTGCCTTAATCAATTTCTATGAAAGTATTGAAAAATTCGTGAAATTCTGTAAAACATTTAAATACGTAATGTGTAGCAAGAAGATTGTTTAATTTCCTGCAACACTGAGTGTATTCGGTGTTGAAAACTCGGAAGAAGAAACCTCGTTTATGAAAAATGAGGATAGTACATTTACGAGATCAGCTCACGTATTCTATTGTATTTAATAAATTGTAACATAAATCATTTGGAGTATTTGTATTTAGAAACTGAAAGTTTGTAAAGTTTATAAAAGTGTCTGTTTCATTGAAACTTTTGAACTTAAGTGTTGAAACAGAGCAAAGATATGGTTACATTGTGATTTATTTACACGCACAAACCGGCTATAACAAACTTTTTTAAAAAGCGGTAACTTAATTTAACATGCCACATACAGAATTTATTGTATAGCACATAAGTGTTTAATCATTTCTTGCCAAAAAAACTGAAAATGGAATTTATTTAACGAAAAAATAAATAACAAGAGAATATTGTTTATACAGGCCTATTGTAATATTAATAACAAATCAATAATTGCGTTGGATGAGTAGTCTTGCCTATTATAATAACAAACCAATAACTGCGTTAGGTGAACAATCTTGCTTATTGTAATAAAAAACCAATAATTGCGTTAGGTGAACAATCTTGCTTATTGTAATAATAAACCAACAATTGCGTTGAATGAGCAGTCTTGCTTATTGTAATAACAAACCAATAGGTGAACAATCTTGCTTATTGTAATAATAAACCAACAACTGCGTTGAATGAGCAGCCTTTCTCATATACTAGTGTTTATATTAGGTTTCCGATTTTCTGTTCTCTGAATTTATCCAAAAATTGGTTCGCCTTTCTCTGCGAACGTTTTAGTTGCAGATTTGAGAAAACTGAAGTGTTACAATAAAAGTATATTTCAACTTGTCAATAGCATCGCTGTTTCACAGCTCATCTAAGTTGAATTTCATATCTGTCCTACTAGCTTGAAAAACAAGAAGGCCAATGGGAAGTAACGATTTGAAGATGAAGAATGGAACGCATAATATATTCTCCATTTGTCTGCACCCGATATCAGTTATGGATATATTATTATTTTTTCTCTCTTTCTTTGAATTATAGAAGCAGTGAAATGGACAGGTCACCTTGATGTGGACTTATGCATCCGTAGTTGACTGAACAAAATCACGGCTTCTATAGTTTTTACTTCAATTTGAGAGAATCGAATGTAAGAGTTACATTTATCCTTGATATTTATTAACTTAATTCGACTTACAGCTTTTTTTTCGAACTATGAATTATGCTTTGTTCTCCAAAAGAAATTTCTCAGGACTTGCAAACCACCGACTAAAGCTAAGATACTCTGTCGTTTCTAACACATTATGTTTCGAATATGTTTTACAAAAAAAGATCAAAGTATACAAACACTACGCTGTATTCTCCCACAACAAAGTGTTATATAAAGATAACAGTATATAAACACCACTCTGTATTCTTCCTCAACAAAGCGTTATACAATGATATAACTATATAAACACCACTCTGTATTTTCCCACGACAAAGTGTTATACAATGGTAACAGTATACTAACACTACGCTGTATTCTTCCACAACAAAGTGTTATATAAAGATAACAGTATATAAACACCACTCTGTGTTCTTCCTCAACAAAGCGTTATACAATGATAACAGTATATAAACACCACTCTGTATTTTCCCACGACAAAGTGTTCTACAATGGTAACAGTATATAAACACCGCCCTGTATTCTCCCACAACAAAGTGTTATATAAAGATAACAGTATATAAACACCACCCTGTATTCTCCCACAACAATGTGTTATATAAAGATAACAGTATATAAACACCACC